GGAATTCTGGGAGTTGAAGTCCACAAGTCTAAAAAAATTGCTGCCTCACCAGCCATAAACCTCACCGCATGTCACTGCTTTCCTTAATCATCTTTGTCGCCTTCTGTGATTGTTGGGTTGGTTCTAAAGTCCAACTCTGTGTTTCTCAAATTAGGCAACTTGAAGAGGAGTGGACTTCAAGTCCACACATCTTCAAGTTGCTGAAATCGAGAAGCATTGTTTTGAGCTAAGATTGTTGTCGCTCTCTGCGATCCCAGGATAATTTCCACGTCTAAATTTTAGGAACCGCGGCAAGAAATCTGCAAGGGAGTCATTGTCTCTGACCAGTACATCTTGACAGCAGCCCACTGCTTGGCCGGGATCAAAGACATCAGCGTCATCCTTGGTAAGCCAAATTCTTGCACAGACGTGGAGATAGAAAGAAGAAGAGGTGGATTTCTAACGGGTGAAAAAAGACTTGGCTGCTTTGTTCTTGGGCCATTTACAGCAGGTTGTGATCAGGGGTGGGTTGCTACCAGCATTACTGCCAGTTCGGCGCGGAAAAGTTTTTACACACAAGCGCATTTGCATCTAAACAGATCAGCGCATGCGCACAATGTTAGAAAAGGAAAAAAAGGGAGGGATTAAATTTTTGCAATGACTATTGTTCTGTGCATGAACCGAATATCAAGATGGTGGTGCCAACAATAGAACCAGATAGGGGGCGTGGCAGACCTACTCGGCTGAATGGGTCCAAACCGGAAGGAACCCGCCTCTGGTCGTGATGGTTTTAACACAGGGGTCCACAACCCTTGGTCCGCAGCCCTGGTACTGGGCCGAGGCTCATTGGGCCACACAACCGGGCCACACAAGCTGCGGTCAAGTGCATGAGCGTGCAAATCTGCATTTGTGCAAGCAGTGTTCATGCACGGAAAATCACCCCGTCCACTGTCAACAGTGTTGCTGGTTCACAGAGCTGGAAAGATTGGGGACTGCTGTTTAACATTTCCGTGGTTCCATTATTATAATAGCCTCCTATTCTGAACTAGGATTCTCCAGCAGCACGAAGCCTAGTCTTCGTCCCGATAAACCCTTTTTATTTAATTTCTACTGAATTCCTCTCCAGCAAAGTCTTTCTTCTCCCACAGTCTTTCAAGATAGTTCACAATTACCGACCTTTATCAGGCTTGGAGAGTGGCCAGGCTGATATCTTTCAGACACCTCAATACTTGGCAAGAATGCAGGAATGAACTCAGTGTCTCCTACAAACTCCCATTTCCCTTCGCTCCTCTTTTATTCCCTATGGGAGGGGCCATTCACTGTCCACCCATGGCCTTACTCCCAACTCGACCCTTGTTCCTTAGCTGTTCCCTTTGTCTGGCAACTCTGCGCATGGGCACACCGGGAACAGGCTCCACCTGTTCATCTGTCTCATTGATGTCTGACTCCGAAGGCAGCTGATAACTATTGGACGGCTCTCGCCCCCTCTCTGCCTCCGACACAGAGCCTTCATCAGAGCCTTCCCGAGACTCCAGGACTGGCCCATGTTCCTCCCCAACCTCCTCATTGCCCGAATCTGCTGTCAGCTTTGCTGGTGGGCCACAACACCTCCATTCTCCGCGAAGCTTTCCAGGAAATCCACATATTCTCTCTCTCTCTCCTTTAGGAACCACCAACTTTGCAGTAGCTGAAATCCAATACCACCCAGAATATAATAGTGAGAAAATAAAAAATAAGGACTCCCCGGAGTTCTACAATTATGATGTTGCTCTTGTCAAACTCAAAGAGAAGCACCTCCCATCTTTTACAAGGTGAGTTAAAAGGAGAATGAGGATCAGGGGATCCTGTAAAATTTACTATATTTTTCGGAGTATAAGACGCACCTTCCCCCCACCAAAAGAGGGTGAAAATCTGGGTGCATCATAGACTGAATACAGCATTTTTGGCCTCCCGAAACCCCGCCCCTTTCACAAAAATATGTGCAGAGGGTTTGGGAGGCCTGCAAAATGCTCCTGGGGGCTGGGGAGGGCAAAAAAGGGCAAAAAAATGGGCTGTTTT